TATTAAATTTTCTTACATGGAAATTACACATCATTAAAATTAAAAAAAATCCAGTGATTTGCTGGCAAGCTAACATGCCATCTGTCATTTAACTGACGGAAGGACCATTTTGGTACCGAAAATGAAAGTTTGAGGATAATTTTGATACTTTTTAAAGGTGAGGGACAATTTTGGTACCAAAGTGTAAAGTTGAGGGACCAAAATGGTACTTAAACCTAAAAGCAAACAAGATAGGGGACTAGGAGTGAAAGATATGAGGAAGTTTAATTTGGCTTTGATGGGGAAATGGTGGGGACAGTTAGCATAAAAAGAACAAGGCCTGTGGGATAAGGTAATAGATAGTAAGTATGGTGGGAGAGGAGGCAATTGGTTTGAGTGGGTAAGAGAGGGAAGAGGAATAGGATCACTATGGTGGAGGGATGTGTGTTGTCTTAATTATGTGGACAAGGAATGCGAAGGGTGGTTAACAAAAGGTTTTAAGTTAAAATTAGGAGAGGGAAAGGGAGTGAGTTTTTGGTGGGACAATTGGGGTGGGGAGGGAAGTCTTGCTAATCTTTTTCCAAGATTGTACTCTTTATCAACAGGAAAGGACAAAGAATGTTGCCAAATGGGTTATGAGGAAAATGGAACACGGAAGTGGAACCTTGAGTGGAGGAGAGCCCTATTCAACTGGGAAAGAGAAGAAGCTGCGGAAGTGCAAAGAAAGGTTGATGGCGTGTAGATATATCCGAGCATTCCTAACACATGGAAATGGGAGCATAGCAAGGAAGGCAACTACTCAACAAAAACAGCATACAGAATATTGGCAAAGGAGCAAAATGCACTAGGTACACCTTCAATTTACAAGAGAATATGGAACCTTACCATTCCGAGAAAAATCTCTGCTTTAACTGGCAACTAGTGCAGGATAGAATATCAACCAACAGTTTAAACATAAACGGAATGCTCAATGATAACCATTATGCAGAATAAAGTTCAGTAGTAGTCAATTAAACTTATAGCATGCCAACAAGTGTAATCAGGAAACGGATACAAGTACGGGAACGAAATAGACGTCTCCTCTATAGATCATGGCCAGTGTTTAAACCTCTCACTGGCAGGCAACAGAAATTACTAGTGTTTAACTCCCACTAGTAGGATTACAGGAATGAACGGGTTCTATCAAGAACATGTCGACATGTGCTAGCGTTTGACCTCCCACTAGCGGGCAACAGAATAACATGACCGTATCGGAGACAAAACAGGCAGAAGTTAACAGAAAATCATGCTTTACTAATCACTTTCAAATCATCAGGGTAATCAATTAAATTTCAAGTAAGCATGCTCAATTTAATGAAAAGCATAAAACTTCACTTCAAATCAGTCATACTTACTTTTGCATAAAACGGGTTTAGTCCTGCCACCACTTCAAAAACAAGTCAAAACATCTTTTAAAAACAGTGTGGGCATTACCATAAATTTACTTACCTCACTCGCTTAAAACCAAAGGCTCAATTCACGGTACTAACTGGCAGAACGATCGGGAACCTAATCAAAACACCTCAGAATTAATACTGGACTATAACAAATTCAAGTTGAAATCATCATGACTAATCCCTAATCACGATATTATTCCTATCAATCTCCACATAACCGGACCTCTCCAAATTTATTCTTATATCACAAACTAAACATTCAAATCCCCGTTAATTATTAGCCCTCGGTGTGTGAACAGTACATATGAACAGTACCCGTGAACAGTATACGTGAACAGTAACTTCAACTCCCAAATTAGCAAAACATAGCTAATTCACGGGGGTTTCACACAATTAACCTCACAACAATCATAACAAGCTAATTTTTCCACTTAAACCACACTTAAAAACATAGCTTAAAGCTACCAAAATTCATTCCAATTTCCCGGACAAGCAATGGAGACCCACGGCTTTGGCCAACAATGGCTAAGCCACGGGGTTACTCCTACACAACATCACAACAGCCCAATTAACAAAATTCCTACATAAACCAAGCGCAAAACACATTTAAATGCTACTAAAGGCTACCGAAATTCCTCCCCATTTCTGGCACAATTCGGACACACACAAGGCAGCAATTAAATGGCTAATTTAGGGCTTAAAGAAGTGGCCATCATACCAGAATTTTCCAGCAAGAACCGGAGCTAGCAGGGGAAGAAGAAGCCGACGGCAAGCTGCAGGGAACTCACGGACTACCCAAAAAAATTGAGGGAAATAAACAGAAATTAGCATAACCCAGCCTAAATCAAGGTTAAAGAGATGATTTCTTGGCTGTGGCTTACCCGAAAAATGCCCAGAAGTTCAAACCCACATAGCAGAACTCGCGGACAACAAAGGGAGGAAGACGCAAAACAGAACAGATCCGGAAATTCTGGGTTTAATGGCTGTTCTAGAACAAGAAAATAGGGAGAAATCCCCAAGCTTGGCCGGTGTTCCCGGCTGGAAATGGGTGGCGGTAGCTGGGGCTCTTGCCGGCTGCAGGGGAGAAGAGCAAAGCAGAACCGGGATTTTTCTGGGTTGAGAGGGAAGATTCTAGGTCCTAAATCTTGTGATTCAACAAGAAAAGGAAGGAATTTCATCAAGATCTCACCGGCTTTTCAAGGGGGAAGAAAGTCGGTGGCTTGGGGGGCTTATCGGGGAAGAAGAGTCGGGAAGAAGACAGAGCACAAACGTGTATGGCTGGGAAGAAAAGGAATGAAAATATCAGCTCATCCTTATCCTAATTTCCTTTCCTTTTGTCCCTGAACTTTAAAAATTTTTGCCATTAAGTTCATTAATAGTATTTCTTCACAATTAGGTCCCTAACTCTCACTTGATGCTCTAGAAATTTTGGGGTATTACACTTTGGGTGAGGAAAATTGTGTTTTGTGCGAGGGGCAGATCGAGGACGCTCAGCACCTTTTTTTGAAGTGTAGGATAGCTAAGTGCTTGTGAAAGGCCTATGGGAAATGGTGAGGAATCACCGTCACTTTAGAATCAAATTGCTAGAAATCTTTTGAACAATTTGGGGTCTAGGCTAAGGAGTCACATGTAAAGGAAGGTTGGGATTGTGTCTGGAACATAGTGGTGTGGTCCATATGGCTCACGAGAAATCAAAAGGTATTTCGAGATTTCGACGTGAACAAAAGTAAGTTGCTCGACCACATTCAATTGAAATCCTTTTTGTGGATTAAAACAAATAAACCCAGATGCTTGTTTAATTTTTCTGATTGGTTAATCAATCCTATAGCATGTCTTAAAGATAACTGCGGTAGGAAATAGAATCTTGTGCTATGCTTGGTAGGATTATCCTCACTATTAAGAGGGTATTGATGGAATTATACTCACTGTAATTACTCAGGAAGCATTGAGCAACTAATTGACTCTACTTGGAATGAAGACAGAATCAGTAGATGCTCAATACTTTCCTTGTTTTTGTATTATGGGCAAGAGTACCCCTTGTACTCTATATAATTAAATATCTTTTGCTTTGCAAAAAAAAAAAAACTTTAATGAATATATTGAAAGCTTGTGGGGCTGCTACTTTACTATTTTTATAATTTTTGATGGTTAAGATTTTTGATAAAAAAAAGATATCAAAACATTTTTAAGTTTCTCGTAGAGGTTATTTCTTTATTTTTAGGTTTTTTATATGTACTCTTACTTTGTGCTTCCACTTAGATGGTCTTTATAACCCATTCTCTACTTTTCAAATTGGTCTTTCAAATTAATATAGTCATTATCAAATTGACATGCATTGGTTATATAGACTACGATTTGAAATTATTCAAAAAATTTTATATTTTAGTAATTATTATTAAGAAATATGTTTATCTAGAATTATTTACATTTTAATCATTACTCTCTTAGTCTCATAATAATGAAGTAAATAAAATCAATTCACGAAGTGTCACTTTGAATTGAATATAAAGTCAACCTATGTTAAACACATTATATAATTAAAGTAGAAATTAAATTATATATTTGAGTAAGTAGTTTTTAACATTAATAATATGTATGATAAAAATTGTTGTGCTAGACTGGTAGCTGTAGAAAAAGGGGGGAAAAAGAAGAAGAAGAAAAGAAAACAATTGAATTTTCCTCTTTCTAATGTAACAAATAAATTGTCAGTTTATCATTACTTTTTGTCTCAGATGAATATATATATATATTTTAGATTAAGGATTTGAAAATTTTTTTATTTTTATCCAAAACAGTGATATCGATACTATTTAATTCAACATATTTCATAACAAACTTATCAAAAAATTATCATTTTTTAATTTTGAATTAAAGGCAAAAAAAAAAAAAACTTAAAATGTTGCCATCCATACATCATGGAGGAACTAATTGAATTGTTACACTTATATTATATTTTAATAACTGAACGGATTATGTGTTAGTGTGTGTATCAAACAAAAGAGTGTTCAAATAATTTTCCTTTTACTTATTTTACCTTTAAAAAAGAAAGAAAAATAAATAAATTTTTTTCATAATAGGATATATAATTAAAGTCGAGAAATAATCATTAAATTAAAGTAGGAAGAAAATATTTGTCTCCTTTAAAATGTGAAAAAATGAGTACTATTATTCTAAAACAAATCCTAAATAAAATGAAAATTATTAATATACCCTTCAATTCAACACAACTTTGGATACATACTCAATTTGGTCATTAAAATATAATATAAGTAGAGCCAACTTAATCAATTTTTGCATGTTGTATACATAACTACATTTCTAAATTTGTCTACTTTTAGTTTTAGATCAAAAAATAATAATTTTTTAATTAGTGTATTAAATAAAAAAATGTATAAATCATTGTTCAAATATAGAAAGGTCTATTACTCTAAGATGGAGGGAGTACTTAATAATTACTCATTATCCCATTCCCTTAACCATACATTTTAGGCTTCATTTGAGAATATATGTTTTTCAGTTTTTTAGTTTTTATACTTTTTATTATTTTAAAAATATATAAAATGTTAATTAAAATAAATATTAAATATATTAAAAATATTTTATATTTTTAAGATATTAAATGACCAAAAAAACTGTTAGTTGTAGCTATTGATCAATATTATCAAACTAAGCCTTAATCCTAGCTCATATGATTAGTGGCAAGATCGGAGCTAGATTTTTGAGAAAGTGGGGGAGGCGCAAAATCTTAAAATTTCTCTGACTTATGATAAGTTCAAATTAATATAACTTATATCAATTTTTAACCCTTAGTTATCTAATTTGTTAGTAGAGATATGTATACTTTTAGTCACAAATTTAGAGTATGATCTATAATTTTTATGTACAAAAAAAAATTATACTAATTTTTATATCAATCACTAATTTTATGTGTAGATGTACTACTTATAGCATATATGTCAAACTTTAATTAATTAAATATATTTAATTATTTTTGAATAACATACTATTTAATACTCTTAACAAATAATATAAAATAATAGGAAAAATGTTAATAAGTTGGATCTAGAAAAAATTATGAAAAAATATTTCAAAACTATATTATTTAAATAAACTCTAATTGAAACAAATAAACCCAAATAACATATTTTTAGGGTAAAAATGAAGACTATATTAATATTTTTTGTGATACTTTATTAGAACGTCCTAATTTTAAAGTGTTTTCACCTTATTTTTTTTGCAAGTCTAGTGAATAAATACTAATATCACATAAGATGTAGTTTCTTTTTTGATATGGTTATAGATATGATATTAATGAACTTTAAATTAAAATATCAAATCCAACTGTTAAATTGATAAAATATAAATTATACAAAAAATTACAACTAATATAAAATCTTTTTTCATACTCAAATAAAATTATTTGTCTTAAGAATTGATTGCAAAGAAAGAAATGGTCCCTTTACCATTAAAAACATTTAAATTTAAGAAATTTAAGAACTGATTACAAAGAAAGAAATGGCTCCTAAATATTTTCTTTAAATTTAAGATGGTTCTTGTAATTCAAACATCAAAAACAAATTTATACCAATTAAAAATTGATATACTATATTAAACATTTTTCCAAAGCTTAGGGGGGGCGGCTGCCCCCCTTGTCCTATGGTAGCTCCGTCCCTGGTTAGTTGGCCAAGAATTCTATAAGAGTTTGAACAAGTCAATATTTTGAACAGGTCTCAATATATACAGGTACCTATCACTCTTTATAACCTAGATATGATCTTCCATTTTCGCCCAACTAGAAACTCCACCATCTGCTGTCCTATATTGGAGTTAGATCATATTGCTAATTAAGTGCTTGACGAAATGACCTTAACCAAGTCCTCAAAACTCATGTTCGTGGTGGTTTTCGCGGCGGTCGTTTTCCTCCTATCTTCTCAGCTAGCTTTTGCTGCTCCTCAAGATTTCATTCCCAATCCTCTGCTAGGTATATATAAGAGACTCACACAGTTGCTTTTCTCATTATTAATTAAGCTGATAAAATATGATTAATTTAATTTTGTCCAACATTTATATGATTTTTATGCTTTTTTTGCAGGACGAAAACTGCTTGAATATAAAGCAAATCCAATGCCTCCAACTCCTTATCTCAGCAACAACCATAGCTAGAAGAAATGGAAGTCCCCAATTGAAATGGAGTACCCTATCAGTTTATCTATAGTCTCTACTTAATTAAGTTCTTTAAGTTTGTCAGAGGAAGATATAGAATAAGATGATGGGTGGGACCAAATATTAGTATTAATTGAAATGATTTCATTAGTTATCACTTAATTACCATGTAATGGTGTCAAACCAACTTCTGCTTTCCGTGTTTCCGGTTTTCTATTGTAAT